CAGGTGTTTTTCCCTTGATTTCCTGGTATCGGGCCCTCAGGGTGGTCAGGAGTTCTACCCGTAAAACTTGTTTATGGCTTGATCTGTGAAGCTTGACCGGCGCCTGCCCGTCTTGCAGCCTTTTGATAAGGCTGGTCCTGGTTTTTGTCAATTTTAAACATGTGGGCTCATGAGTACTCATGGCGCCTAGTCTTTTTCAATAGGAAGACATTTCCTCAAAACAGAAAGAGACCCATACAAGTACGAGAAGCACATAGAACAACAAATAGCAGGACCAGAAAAGAAACTCATGTGGCATATCATAATAAAAACACTAAATGTCCAGAACAAAGAGTATACTGAAAGCTTCAAGAGAAAAGTCGTATAAAAAGGAAAACCTATCACAGTTACATCTGACTTTTATTTTTTTAATATTTTATTTATTATTTTTATGTTTGTTTATGTACTGCCTACATGTAGGTAAGTGCACCCATGTCATACAATGCCCATGGAGGATGGAAGAGGCTGTTGGGTCCCCGGAACTGGAGTTACAGACACTTGTTAGCTGCTATACAGGTGCTGGGATTCGAACCCAGGTCTTCACAAGAAAAGCCAGTGTTCTTAATTGTTGAACCATCTCTCCATCCACATAGCTAACTTTTCAATGAAATCTATAAAAGCCAAAAGATCTGGGATGAAAGTATTCCTAGTGCTAAATGACTATAGATGACAACCTGGAACACTTGACCCAGCAAAACTATCTATTAGAGTGGAAGGGGAAGGAAAAATCTTCCATGACCCAAAACGCTGAAATAATTCATGGGCACCAAACCAGCCCTTTCAGAGAATACTTGAGGCAATATGAAAGACTGAAGAAAGAAACGACTATTCCCAGGATGCAACAGAAAGAAACTAATTGAAGGTATAATTTCAGAAACACAAAATTAGACCAAGAACGCAAACACAAATTAAAATGACCATAACCAATAAACATTTTTCTATAATAATTTTAAATACCAATGGCCTGAACTCCCCAGTCACAAGACACAAGCTAGTTGAATACATTGAGAAACAAAATCCATTTATTTTTTTATCTTCAAGAAACTCATCTCGGGGCTGGAGAGATGGCTCAGCAGTTAAGAGCACTGGTTGTTCTTGAAGAAGACTCGGGTTTGAATCCCAGCACCCACATGGCAGCTAACAATTGTCTGGAACTCCAGTCCCAGGGGATCTGACAGCCTCTTCTGACCTCCACAGGCATTGCATGACACGGGTGCACTGACCTACATGCAGGCAATACACACATAAATATAACATTTTTTTAAAAAAGAAACTCATCCCATCTTCAACAATAAGTACTACCTAGAGGTGAAAGGATGGCAAAAATATTCCAAGCAAATTGCACTAAGAAACAAGCAGGGATTACAATTCGAATATATGACAGACACCAAACTAAAATTAATTAGAAGAGGTAAAGAGCTTAACTTCATTCTGACCAAGGGAACAATAGAGCAATCATGAACATATATATACCAAACGCTCATACACCCAATTTCATAATACAGTACTACAGGGCATTAAAACACAGATTAACCCCAACTCAGCAATAGTAGGGGACTTCAATAGACCACTATTTCCAATAGACATGTCAACTGGACAAGCAACAAATAGTAAAGAGATATCTGAATTAATTAATTGGTAACATATATCAAATGAACCTAACAGACATCTACTGTAATTCCTCTCAAGCATCAATGAATATGCTTTCTATTTAACAACCCACGGAAGTTTCTCTAAAATTGATGACATACTGGGACAAAAAAAAACCCTCAACAAATACAATTGATATAATACCATGTATTCTATCAGACCACAATGCAATAAAGCATAAAATCAACAACAGAAGAATCTCTACTAACTACATTAACACATGGAGATTAAACAACACAACATGTATGATGAATGGATCAAAGAAGAAATTAAGAATGAAATAAAAGTATTTCTAGAACTAAATGAAAAAGATGCTTCAACACAACAAACCTCTTGGACAATTTTAAAGCAGTTCTAAGAGGGAAGATTATAGCCCTAAGTGGCTTCATTAAAAACAGAGAAAGAGCACTCAAGACTCTGGAAAGGCAACAATAAATGAAACCCAAACACAGCATATAAGAAGAAATAAAAAAAATCAGAGCAGAAATTAATGAAACAGAAACAAGAAAACAATACAAAGAATCAATGAATCTAAGGGTTGGATCTTTGAGAAGACAAACAACCAAAGAACAAAAGATCAAATCCAAATCGACAAAATCAGAAATGGAAGGGGAAACATCACAGCAGACACCAAAAAGATCTAGAACATTTTAAGAGAATACTTTAAAAACCTATACTTTACTAAATTTGAAAACCTAAAACATGGATGAATATGTAAATTCATGGGAACCACCAAAGATAAGCAAGACGCGAGCAACAAATTAAAAAAAAAAAAACAATAAAAAATAAGGAAATTGAAATAGTAGTACAAAACCTCCCCCCAAAAGCCCAAGACCAGACAGATTCACAGAAGAATTTTACCAGACGTTTAAAGAAGATACACAACCAATACTACTTAAATTATTCAAAAAGATATAAATATTGGATGAAATCCCAAATATCTTCTAGAAAACCAACATCACCCTAACATGAAAACCGGGTAAAGAAACAACCAGTAAGGAAAACTATTGACCCATATCCTTAATGAGCATAGACTCAAAAATTAACAAATACTTGCAAACTGCATACAGACACACATCAAATAGCTCATTCATCATTATCAAGATGACTTTATTCCAGAGATGCTGGATGGTTCAATATACGTTAAGTGAATCAATTTTATCAATGGTGTCAATGAAAAAAATCACATGTCATCTCAATAGATTCAGAAAAGGTCTTTGACAAAATCCAACATGCAATTATGCTAAAAGTCCTAGAGGGAACTTGAGGGAGCATACCTCAACATAACTAAAGCTATATATAACAAACCCACAGCCAACATCATTCTAAGTAGAGAAAAACTGGAAGCATGCCCATTAAAATCAGGAAGCAGACAAGGCTGTCCATTATCTCCACTCCTTTTCCATATAGTTTTTGAAACTCTTGCTAGAGCAATGAGACAGGAGAAGGAAACAAAGGAATACTAATTGGAAAAGAAGAGGTCAAGTCATTCCTATTTGCACATGATACCTGAGAGATCCACAAATTTCCACCAGAAAACTTCTGGAAATGATTCAGCAAAGTGGCAGTTTACAAAATCAATCTCCAAAAATCAGTACCCTTCCTCTATATCAAGAACAAGCAATTGGAGAAAGAGGATATGAAAACCCTCCCATTCACAATAGCCTCCAAAAAATCTAGGAATAAACTTGATCAAAGACATTAAAGATCTCTATAATAAAAATTTTAAGTATTTGAGAAAGATTGAGGAAAACACCAGAAGATGGAAGAACTTCCCATTCTCATTGATTGGAAGAATTATTATTATGAAAATGGCCATGCTACCAAAAGTGATTTACAGATTCAATGTAATGTCAAAATCCCCATGACATTCTTCACAGAATTAGAAAAAAACAACCAACCTAAAATTCATATGAAATCACAAAAGACCCCAGATAGAGTAATCCTGAACACAAAGAACAATGCTAGGGGGATTATCATACCATATCCCAAGCTATATTACAAACCTATATTCATAAAATGGCATTGTACTTGCACAATAACAGACATATAGATCAATGGAACATACTAAAAGATGCATATATGAGTCCATTCAGTTTCAGTCACCTGATATTCGACAAAAGTGCCAAGAATACACACTGAAGGAAAGGTATCTTCAACAAATGGTACTGGCAAAACTGGATCTCCACCTCTAGAAGAATGAAACTAGAACTTTATATTTCACCTTGCACAAAAGACAACTCCAAATGTATTAAAGATCTGACTGTGAAACCTGAAACTCTGGAACTCTTAGAAGAAAACATAGCCAGTACCTTATGGGATATAGGTGCAGGAAAGAACGTTGTAAACCAAGCATCGGGTGTGTGCAAGGGAGTTACCCACCTGTGTGTGCAAGGGATACTGGAAACATATTCTCAAATAGTTAATGGATTCTTTTACTGGGAAAAGTAGAAAATAGATATTATAAAATAGCAGTTTACAAAATATTTAATAAGCTGGCTTTACCTAATTATTTGCTATATGTCGATAACTTTAAGCATATTCTGTATAGAGCATAAAAATGTATTCTAACTGGATGAAATGTGATTATTTTTGTTTTCAGTATGTTTTGTACTGTTTAAAGTGAGAGCTAGAACATGTAAGCTACAAAGTCTTAAACCTATTACTGACCATTTTAAAACAAACACTGATCATTTGTGAGCACTCCTCATCTTTAATTTTACGTGGTGTTATACAAAATTAGAATTAACATAGTTTCTAATATCTTATAACCTCTATCTCAGATGATAAGAGGACAGTGAGACTCTACACCGAATTTTTTATTCAAGAAGCCACAACAGCAGTGCTTGGGGATTAGTTATGCACAGAAATAACATGAAACATATGGGAAACACCCCTCCCAACATAGGGTGTCTTTCACACAAGGATAAACACACTGGTGTTTCCATTATCACTTACTTAATATTTGTGATGAAACTAAGCATTTTATGAGAATGGAGCACTGAATTCAATTGGCTATATAGCTCGTAATCACAATGTAGGAAGAAAAGTGTTAGATGATTTTGTATTGAAAAGTGGTTTCATTTGATATATTAAACCAGCCTAACATTTGGCTTAGGTTCTGCCATTATGTGTTGTTACTGTAAATGTGGAAAAACTGAATTAACGAACCAATAAATTTCCTCTGTACCTGAATTCTATCCAGGTAACAGTGCAAAGAGGTGGAAAGGTGTGCTGCAAGAACTACCATGACTTCCTCCTTCATTCTCCAATAAAGGCCTGGACACACTGTCAGCTCCCAGCTTGGCACTATGGCTCTTGGCTTACTGAACCTGATACTGGCAGGCTGCTTTTCTGCTGCTTTAGCACAATATTTTGATTCCTCAGCTTTGTATTCCCCTCTCTGGGGTGAGAGTCCTGGACAACTGAATGACTACAGGTTGGAGAATGGTAAGTTCACAATTAATCCCCAGGTATTCACTAACAGAATGGGGATGTATAAAAACCTACTGACTCAGACAGCCAAATATTCTGAAAAATTTGCTCCAGCAAATGAACAAAATTTCTTATGGGGATTGCCTCTATTCTATGGCTGTCAATATAAGAAGGTAAGAAAGACGTTCTTTTTGTTCTAGTATTTATTCTCTTTATTCTAGAATAATGATGAAATGTTTGTAAAATGAGATTCTGTGTATCTTATTTATTTTTTAAAATATCATCTCCCTTTATTACTTGTCTCATTAACATTATTGTTTTTATGTTTCTATACATCTTTATCATACACTTCTCTTGTGGGTTTTCCATTTCTATGACAAACTTCAGTAAAACAGTCATACTGACCCACCACTGCAAAATATTCTGTCTAACCTACAGTGCATCTAAAAATATATTTTCTCAATTGCTTACTAACTTTACATTCCTTTATATGCACCTGGGGAAAGAGAAAAATAAACTGTATGTATTACAAACAGAACGAAATACCAAATTAATTGTAATTTCATTGTGATTCTGAATGGTAGTGGTCACAAAGTTATAAATCAGCACTGATCTGCTTATTATCATTTCTATCTGCAAGCAATTGCTTCTCCTAAGAAATAAAACAGGGGCTGGAGAGATGACTCAGAGTTTAATAGCAATGACTGCTCTTCCAGAGGACCCGGGTTTTATTCCCAGCGCCCACATGATAGCTAACAACCTCCATAACTCCAGTTCCAGGGGATCCGACACCCTCTTCTGACCTCCTTAGGCATTACAGAACATGGTGCACTTGCATGCATGTAAGAAATACCCTCATACAAAGTAAAAATAATAATAAATAAAATATAAAAAGAAATTAAACACTTTCCAGTGTATGCACAGAAGGCATGATTAGAGACATGATTGGAGACCTAACAGTCATGCATCAGAAGATAATTTTTTTCTAGTTAACATAGAAGCTCATGAGAAACTTAGTGTGCAATGGCCAACCTACACTAATAACCAAGCCAATAAAGTATTAAAGAACCTATAAGAAGGTAGTTAGAGAGAAGAGAAACACAGGTATTTCTGAAAATGTTTATAATATGAACATGCAAAAATTAAAGTGTATATACTTAGGTTAAAAATGTAAGCACTTCCCTGTGTTCATGAACCAGCCCTAGCCCTTACAGTCTTTTTCTTCTTCCACAATGGTCCCCAAGCAATGGGTGGGTGAAGTTCAATATAGCAGTTCCATCCAAGGACACACACTCTGCAATCTCTAATTCTTCAAAACTTGGTGAGTTATGACTTTCTGTGTGCATTGCACTCTGTTGTATAAGGAAGTTTCACTGGTGAGAGATGAGGGATGGGACTTAATGTACAGCAGAATACATGATATTCGGTGGGGGGGATGGGTGGCATGGATGGGGGAAGAGGCCTAAATTTGACTAAGAACTGCTGTATAAAATTACAAAAGCTCAAAAAAATTTAAGGAGCATTTTAAATGTTCAGAGTAAATACAACTGTGCATTCTGATTTCCCTTTCCTCTAGGCATTTTAGCTGATCCCTCCAGAAGGACACGCTGTAGCTATCGATCTAGAAACCATCTGTGCATCTCAGTGGACAGTTATTGGGGGGGCAGGTTTGTTGAAATAGTAAAATTGATATTACACATCTTCCAAAACAAGCATTCAAATTAAAGTTTAGAAACAAAGACAGAAAAGAAGTATTCTTCCATGTTTCAAATTGAAACTGAAATCATATTCTCTCTGGCCTACATGTCACAGAGTGGGATTTAATAGCCACAAACTCCACAATGGCTCTTTGAATATATTCAGCTTTTCACAGAGGAACTAAATCAAGGTACTGCGAGGTCAGACTTCTGAGAGACCAACCCAGACAGTTTGGGAGTCCTAAAAAGCTCTTGGAAGTTTTGAGTGAGAATAGAAAACAAGAATGTTTAGTACTTTTCTTATGGTCAAATGTGTTAAATATCAAAACTAAGAAATATGTAGAGAGTTATACAGAAGTTACTAGCATTAACATATACTCTAAGACTCCAGAAATAGTTGGGACCTGTTAGTCTATTATGTACATTGAGCTGTGGCAGGCTTGTTTACTGAGTTTGTGTTATGCACACCAGTACCTAATCTGCCTAATCAGGAGGAATGTGTTTATATGGAGAGCCTCACAATACGTGATTAACATATACTCTAAGACTCCAGAAATAGTTGGGACCTGTTAGTCTATTATGTACATTGAGCTGTGGCAGGCTTGTTTACTGAGTTTGTGTTATGCACACCAGTACCTAATCTGCCTAATCAGGAGGAATGTGTTTATATGGAGAGCCT